TTCCCCCATTCAGAGTACGGGGATGATTTCGTGCAACTTATGTATACATCGTTATCACGCATTTTCAAAGAAGCCCAGCACAAACGATACCATATTCTGTTTGGGGGCGGTTTCAACGCAGAAGTTGGCAGCCTTTTGGAAACGGACAATTGTAAAACTATTGGGAATCATGGGCTTCACTTGGAAAATTCGCGTGGGCAATGGTTGAAGCAATGGGCGACTTTGGAGAATTTAACAATTGTGAATGCATTTTTCCCGAAGCCACCGGAAAAAAAGAGAGCCGCACAGAGGATCCAGCCAGAGGCCACGTCAAATAGATTTCTTTCTGGTGAACAGGAAGACTTGGAAAAGTGCACTCGATGCTGGCAGCGTCGCTCACATCAATATGGGATCAGACCACATAGCGGTTATTATTTCGTTACGCATGCAGGACGACACCTCGCTGACACGAAGGGGCCGCAGGATTCGACATGCACAATGAAAAAGCGTCGATCAAACTACATACATATCGACTTTGACACAAAAAGTGAATAATGCGAGCTGGGATGGAGATTTGGATAACAAATCTTGCACATTGGAAGGGCTGTTCGTCGAAGCTGCGGCTGAAAGCTGCGAGTCTGAGCGCGGTGGAGACGACGAGAGTTTCTCAGAAGTCTGGGAAGAAATCCGCGGATTGATCCAAAGACGAAAAGATCTAGGAAATGGCTGCCCTGCAGAGCGGGCCGAACTGAGCAAGCATATTAGCAGACGCATCAGGAGTCTACGACGCCGGATGGAGCGCACGAGCCGCATCGACAATATTCTAAAATATTTCTTTGGGATCAAGCGTATGCCGATGTTGAAGACAAACGTGGAGAAGCCCATGATGGCCTGCATGCTGGATGGTGCCTCGGAGACCACCAACCGCAAGGACATGGTCAACTTTTTCGCTTCATTCCATGAACAGCTTTACTCTCAACATCGTCGAGTTGATCCGCGCCCGGGAATGGCAGGTACCACTTCAGACAACGTTGTTATTTCTGCCCGTGCCGAGATCCAGGGTGCGATCAAACAGCTTAAGAACAACAAGTGCGCCGACGGAGCCGGAGCGGTGGCAGAAATGATTAGCAACACTGGTGATTTTATTTTGGATGCGTTGGCAGACCTATACAACAATATGCTGAATCCCAACGCAAAGCCGCCCAATTACCGAAAAACTACAGACCAATCACGATCATACCTCTCCTTTACAAGCTATTTGCTCGCCTTCTACACGACGGATCACAACCTATCCTGGAGCCGCAGCAGGGCAACGACCAGGCGGGCTTCCGCGCCGGAGCTTCGACGGAGGACCATTTGTTCACCGTCGCAATGGTCCAGGAAAAAGGCAGACGAATATACGTTTCCCTTGTGGTTTGCAGCTTTGGACTTTCAGGAGGCATTTGGAACACCAGGCGCCAGGCACTGTGGAATTCCTCATTTCGGCAAGGTGTACCGCTACAGTATATTCGGGTTTTGGAAAACCTGTGCTCTGAGCAGACAGCCCAAGTCACAACAGACAAACAAAGCAGATGGTTTCCAACACTGAGAGGAACAAAGCAAGGATATCCTCTTAGCTCTTTTATATTCAATTCTGTGCTGGAGGACGTGTTGCGCCCGATCAAGGAGAAGTGGCTGAAGCGGGGCTACGGCGTGCCACTTGGATTTGTTGCGTCGTCAAATATGACGAATTTGCGTTATGCGGATGATGTTCTCTTGGCCGCCAGGACGAGGCATCAAATCAGAAGCATGTTGTCGGACGTGAGTTCAGCAGCCGCCGCTGTCGGTCTTCTTGCTCTCCGCGCAGACATAGCGAAAGTTTGGACAAACGTTGGGAAGAGCAAAGGCCGGGGCACGCAGAGCAATCTTGTGATCGACGGCTTGAACGTGGAGATTTTGCCGCAAGAAGGAGCGGCAAAGTATTTGGGCAAGATGCTGGGAAGCTCGTCTGACATACGCACTGAGCTCGACCACCGTATTCGGCAGACTTGGAAAGCGTTCGTGGCGAGAAAGACCGAGCTCACGGACAAAGGGTATAAGTTGTCGTCTCGACTCAAGCTGTTCGAAAGCACGATAACGCCAACTGTCTTGTACGGAGCTTCGTCGTGGACCTTGATACGGGAGTTGCAACAGAAGCTGCAACGCACACAACGGAAGATGTTGAGGATGGTATTCGGAGCTGGCCGGCGCGTAGCTGACCGGGACGCCGATGCCCGGCGCATGGATGCCGGAGACGCGGCGCCGACGCAAGCGACAGCCAGTCATTGGACAACGACCAGAACGACGGAGATGACGAGAGCCAGGGCGACCTCGAGCCGCGGGTGCTGTGGGTACAGCGCGTGACGGCCACAGTGGAAGCTCAATTAGAAAAGTTGCACATCGATGATTGGCGTACGGCATGGCGTCGAAAGGCGTGGAGGTTCGCACGCCGCGTGGCCGCATCAAGCTCCGACAGGTGGACAGTCAAAGCGGCGGCATGGCAACCCGAGCTTTCGAGGTATTGCCGCGGTCGTCCCGCCCACCGTCCAAAGAAGAGATGGGTTAACGACATTATAACATGTTTACAGGAACGGGTTTGTGATGCGACGGCCAGAAATTGGTTTGAGTTTGCAGCTGTCAGTTCAGTCTGGGACAATCTGGAAGCAGAATACGTGAAGATGTGATATTTCTGACACGGTCTTCATCCTCCTCTGAGCGCTGCGGCGCTTTCCACCCGCTCCGGCCAGGAGCGCGCTTCGGCGCGATGCGGGTGTTTGTTCTGTTCTGTTCTGCTCGAGTGTCCAATGACGCATATTTCCCAAACCTTCGATGCCCGCCCTCTCCGTCTTCGATCGAACCCCTTTTGGGGGGTATACTTTTCTTCCCTGCAGGCCGGGCCCCGGCAAGCGGCGGGGCGGCCGCGGACCGTCGGCCTGGCGGCGGGGCGGCCGCGGACCGTCGACCCGACCCCCAGAGGGACGGACAGGGGACCGACCACGACGAGGACGACGACGACGACGTCGACGGCGACGACGACGACGACGACGACGGCGACGACGACGACGAGCGAAAGCGAGAGCGAGAGAGAACGACAGCAGGGCCACGAAGGACACGAAGTAGGCCACGAAGGGCGACAGCGGGGACACGAAGGGAATGCGCATGGGGCCACGAAGAGCGCGAACGAGCGGGGGCCACGAAAGGCAGATAATGCGGGGCCACAGAAGACAACGATGGGGCTACTGAAGGTAGCAATTGGGCCACGTAGGACAGCGGGGGGGCCACACACGGCGACAGCAGGGCCACGAAGGGCATGCACCTGGGGCCAAAACCGGCGCGAACGAGCGGGGGCCACGAAGGGCATACGTATATTGGGCCGCGGAGGGCAAGAACGGGGCCACTGAGGGCAGCAACGGGGCCACGAAGGGCAGCGAGGGGGCCACGAAGGGCGACAGCGGGGCCACGAACGGCATGCATATGGGGCAACCACGGGCGCGAACGAGCGGAGGCCACGAAGGGCATACGTATATTGGGCCACGAAGGGCAGCGAGGGGGCCACGAAGGGCCGCAACGGGGCCACGAAGGGCAGCGAGGGGGCCACGAAGGTTTGCAACGGGGCCACGAAGGGCTGCGACGGGGCCACGAAGGGCAGCGAGGGGGCCACGAAGGGCTGCAACGGGGCCACGAAACAAAGCGAGGGGGCCACGAAGGGCTGCAGCGGGGCCACGAAAGGCAGCGAGGAGGCCACGAGGGGCTGCAACGGGGCCACGAAGGGCAGCGAGGGGGCCACGAAGGGCTGCAGCGGGGCCACGAAACAAAGCGAGGGGGCCACGAAGGGCTGCAACGGGGTCACGAAGGGCAGCGAGATCCTAGGTAATCTGCGAGGGAATCCTAAGCGTGAGCGCGACTCCTGGGTGCCTGGGTGTCGGGAGCGCAGCGTTTGAGTAAATTGCAATAAAGTCCAACGCAAGGGCGTTATTCTATGGCAAATTGCAAGCAAGTTTCCAGCGAAAGCGCGACACCAGAGCGCCGGGACAGCGATTCCTGAATACATTGTAAGGAAGTCCCAAGCGAGAGCGCGATACCTGAATAAAATGCGAGGAAGTTTTGGGCGGGAGCGGGGGTCCTGGTTAAATTGTGAGGAAGTCTCAGGCGGAAGCCGTTGTTGTTGTAGTCCGGGGGGCAGGGGGCCAGTTTGAGCAGGAAGACTTTCTTTGACAAAAAACAAGGTGCGAGCCCCGGGGGGGGGCACTTCAATTGAAAAAATCAATGTGCACCGGAGGGGGGATCAACAATACTTATTCTTCAAGAATAAGAGTTCAACGACAACAGCAACAGCAACAATAAGTTTAAGAGTGATCGCTCCTACTTTCTCGCGCACATATATCAAAACCTCGGCACCCGCCCTCTTCGTCTTCGATCGTATCTCCTTGGGGTATGTCCTGTTTACTTGTCACGCGCATGTAAAGCAGCCGCTCAAACAGGGGAAGAGAGGACGGATGGAAAGGGGAGGGAGGAGGATGGGTCACGAGAAAATGTTGTTTGAGGGGGGCTAAGAGCAGAAAGCATGTTGCAGAACCAGACAGGCAGATGGGGCGGGCAGACCCTAACGCCGCGCCTTCAACACTCGCGAATCACGCTCCCACTTTCGATTTCCCAGAGATTTACTTGGGCGACACGTCTTCGCGATCCATGCAGGACTCACGCTTCAGCAACCCGCCTGCTCGACGTGGCTGCCTTGGCCCGCCTTTTCGACCCGCCTGGTTGAATAAGTCATGAGGAAGTCTCACGCGAGAGCGCGATTCCTGCATACATTGTGAGGAAGTCCCGCGCGAGAGCGCGATTTTGGGAATACATTGTGAGGCAGTATCAGGCGGGAGCCGTTGTTGTTGTAGCCAGGGGGCCAACAGCGCAGTTTGAGCAGCAATATTCCTCCTTAAAAAATCCGGGTACGAGCCCTGAGGGGGGCACTTCGATTGAAAAAACATCATGCGCACCAGTGGGAGGATCAACAATCCATGCTTTGAAAATGAAACTTCAACAACGCAACAACACCAATCCGCACCGCGGAACCCCACTTCAACCACCCGCCCAGGGACAGTGAACGACCGTTCGCCCCCCTCGGTCTGATCAACAACGCGTCGCCATGGGGCGGTCGTCGGCGTGTTTCTCCTCGTCTTGAACCGGAGGCCTGATGCTGTTTCCTCAGTAACAACATGAAGGACTCCCCACGGTGGGACAATAACTGTCGCTGGTGCGCGCGGGCCTCCGAAGTGGAGCAATAGTTGTCGCCGGTCCGAAAATTTATGCGTTCATCCATGGTTTCTTCTTCTGAGGTGGGCATGCGCAACTTCCACCTGATCAAGCACGGCAAGGTGTGCCCTCTGATCAACGTGGACAAGCTCTGGTCGCTGGTCCCTGAGGGCACGCGGGAGCAATTCGCGGCGAAGAAAGACAAGGCTCCCTTCAGGATGAGGGAGGGGGCAGAGGGGGCAGAACAAGGAGGAGGAGAGGAGGGGACAGCGAGGAGGAGGATGAGAAAGAGGTGGAGGAGGAGAAGGAGGGAGGCGGACAAGGCCCCCGTGATCGACGTCATGAAGGCGGGCTACATGAAAGTCTGCGGCAAGGGCCAACTGCCCGAACAGCCCCTGATCGTGAAGGCGCGCTACTTCACCAAGGAGGCCGAGGTCAAGATCAAGGATGCCGGCGGCGTCTGCGTGCTGGTGGCCTGAGAGGGTGGCGGGCGGACCGTGGCCGGCGCGACCCCCACGCGCCAGCGTAGCGACCGGAGCAGACCCATTCCACAAAAGAGGGCCGCTGGATGGTGTGAGAAGAGCGTGGGAGGCTGGGTCGCGAGGAGGTGCGGCAGGTTCGTGCCGTATCGACGCGGCGGCGACGCCAGCGCGGTCGTTGAGGATTGAACGCTGCTACTAGCCGCGAATCGGCCGATGTTCAGCAATCTGCGCTATCGGAAGGCACCGATAGTTCCAGGTCGAACGATCCACGTGGTGTCAGAAGCGGGCACAGATGCCGCCACGACACGAACTTGCCGAAGGATGGGGCTGTCAAGGCGAGGGCGTGAGTGTGCCGGATCACGTGTGGTGCGGCCTTCGGCGCGCGCTGGGGGAGTCTTCGAGCGGGCCGTCGGGCGGGGCGGCATTTGGGGTTATGATGTTCCGACTGCCCTTAGCCTTGACCACCAGAAAGAATTCCGAGCACCAAGAAATTACCGAAATTTGAGGGTTCTCACGCGTCGGGCCCTGGGAGGCGAGACTCGTTAACGACACAGTTTTGATACTTTTCTTGGTGCCCGGAATGATTGCTGAGATGTGGTCTTTAAGTACGATGGGCTGGGGGGTGGACAGAGCCATACAGAACCCCCACCCTGACACGTCGATCAATGAATTGTCCGCTTTCGGTTCTCGAGAGGGAGCCGCGGCCGTCATCTTCAAGGCTTGCGCCCGCCAGGTTTGGGCCCGAGGTCGTTGTCACTAAACCACGTACGTTTTACTACAGGGGGTCCTGTCCATCCCCGATGGAAGCAACATAAATCTGGGGGTCCTCCGGCAGCCTGGGGCGGCCGCCCCGTGGGCCTCGCGCCCACAGCCGTGCTCGGAGTCGGCCCCCGGTGCTGCTCCGGCGGGCCGGGAGGTCTCGGCCCGAGCCTCGGCGCAGGGCACGGTTGCGGCCTGTGCTTCTCGTGGCACCCCGCCCGCTGTTGGCCGAGTACCCAGACCTCCGCGCGTTGTGAAGAAATCACGACGGGAGGCTTTTCGCTATTTTCGGCCTCCGGGGGCCCTCACCGACCCTCGGGGCTGTCAAAAGACGACTCAGGACGAGAAGCTGGTCCCGGGGAAGGGGTCCAGACCTCTGGGGATCGACGTTGTGAAGAAATCACGGCGTCGGGGGTCTGGGTTAAGGGAGGTGCCCGGACAGAAGTCGGTGGCCGAGAGCGGGCCCGAAGTCGGGGCCGAAGGCGTCGTACGACCGAAGCTGTGGCCGGAAGTGTACACATGGTCTTGGTGTCGATCCAGATGCCCAGGCCTCCTCGCGCTGTGAAAAAATCACGACGGGAGGTTTTTCGCTATTTTCGGCCCTTGGGGGCCCTCGCTGGGCCTCGGGACCGTCAAAAAACGACTCAGGACGAGAAGCTGGTCCTGGGGAAGGGGTCCAGACCTCTGGCGGTCGACGCGGTGAAAAAATCACGACGCCGGGGGTCTGGGTATTTCGGTCACGCTCGGGCGCGGTCGGACAATTTCGGACGCCAGTTTCGGTCACACTCGGGCAGAGTTTCGGGCACGGTTTCGGTCTCGACGTCTCCCTGATAGAGACACGAGTCTGCGTGATGTCTTCGAGGGCCCTTTCGAAGGTCCACGCTGCTCTGCCGTTGTTTGCGGTGTGCCTGCCAGGGATACGCTGCAGTACATACTGGAGTTCCCTGGCGTTTCCGAGGTCCCAGTTGCCCTTCGCACCCTTTCCAGCCCCATCCTTCTGGTTGCCCGTCCAATAGAAGCGTGGGCTTGTTTTCCAAGCAGCTCGTCTGCAAGGGTTTCACGGCTTGTTGCCCGTAAGAAGGGCCGGGGGCGGAATCGGTAGCGTGATGGTCTCCCGTATGGTCGACCGGACGGTCTCCCACACATGGGCTCCCGTGCGGCCTCCTTATGTGGTCTCCCGCATGCTCTCCCACATGGCCTCGCGTATGGCCTCCCTCATGGTCTCCCGCATCTCTTCCCGTCTGGTATCATACCCACGCAGGACGGAAGACGTTCCTCTTCAGGCGAAAACGGCGATGGGGAGTTCGCGAGACAGCCTCGGTGCCGCCGAGCGCACGGCGTTTGGACGAGATGCTTGCACCAACCTGGCGGCGCGGAGATCTGATGGGAGTGCGCGAGACAGCGCAGGACCCATCCTGGGAAGTGGATAACCGAGCCTCCCCGGTTTAATCTTTACACGGGCGGGTTGCGGTTGCGGGGTCCGCAGGTCCGATGTCTTACGGTTCCCCGTTGAATTTAATATCCCGAATCGGATCCGTGCGGGCGGAAATCGGATCCACCGAAACGCAAATCAAGACCCACATTGGATCCGTGCGGACTGAATTGAATCCGACGGCGGTTATCTAATACGCGTCGGCTCAAGACTTCAAACCGTTGTTCCGGGCCGAAGGGGAAAAATTCTCGTCCCGGGGATACATCTGGTCTCCCGTGTGCTCCCTCATATGCATTCCAGCATGTTCTCCCACATGGTCTCCCGTGTGCTCTCCGTGGTTTTCGTGTATGGTCTTTCACATGGTCGCCACTTCCAGGCCAGGCCAGGGCTCTCTTGGGCTCCCAGCGGGCTTGGCCAGGTTTGGTGTCGCCGCGCAGTCCTCCCCCCCTCCTCCTCCTCCTCGTCCTCCTCCTCCTAGTCCTCCTCCTCCTCCGCCTCTTCCTCATTCTCCTCCTCCTCCTCCTCCTCCTCCTCCTCCTCCTCCTCCTCCTCCTCCTGGTCCACCTCCTCCGCCTCCTCCTCATTCTCCTCCTCCTCAACCTCCTCCTCCTCCTCCTCCTCCTCCTCCTCCTCTCCTCTCCTCCTCCCCCCCTCCTCCTCCGCCTCTTCCTCATCTCCTCCTCCTCCTCCCTCCTCCGCCTCCTCCGCCTCCTCCTCATTCTCCTCCTCCTCAACCTCCTCCTCCTCCTCCTCCTCCTCCTCCTCCTCCTCCTCCTGCTCCCCCTCTGCTTCATCCCCCTCCTCTCCAGGGCCACCTGGAAACCGGCCCCGACGAGCCTGGGCACTTGCTGACCGAGCAGAGCCGGGACCCGGAGGAGCCCCGCTCGGCAGAGGAGCGCCCGGGCTCCCCGCCAGCCAGCCTCAGCGCCGCGGCCGCAGGCGACCACGCCGGCCTCCTCCTCCTCCTCCTCCTCCTCCTCCTCCTCCTCCTCCTCCTCCTCCTCCTCCTCCTCCTCCTCCTCCTCCTCCTCCGCTCAGAAGTCTTCTAGTAGCACGGCTGGTGTTATGGAGTAGACTTCCAGGAGCTGCCTTGCCTTGCCTTGCCTCCTCCTCCTCCTCCTCCTCCTAGGCGAGGCCTGGAGCGGCTGCGTGCTCGGCCGGGGCGCGCCGCCACCGCCGCATGGCCAGGCGCCTCGGGCCGGCAGGCCGGCGCTCCGGCGGAGGCCCGCGGCGCCGTGGGCGGCCAGCGGGTGGGCGCTGCGCACTCCGCCGCCCGGCCCGCCGTCGCCCGAGCTGGGCGAGCCGCCCCCCTGCGGCTGGGCGCCCCTGCAGTCGTCACTCGAGCGCCCGCGTGCTCCCCGCCGGCCACCGCCGCGGCCGCGGGCCGCAGCGGGGGCGGCGGCGGCGGCGAGCCCGAGGGCGGGTGGGAGCTGCACACGCTTCCGCCCGGCCCGGCGCCGTCGCCCAGCCTGGGGGAGCCGCCGCCCGCCTGCGGTGAGGGGCCCGCCTGCGCAGCGGGAGCTGGCGGAGTGCGATGGTCAGGCGGTCGGGGGGCGCCAGCACGAAGTGCCCCACCGCAGCGCTCCTGGCCGGGCCGGTCCTGGGGCCCAGCAGCTCCTCTGGGCCTCCCAGGTGGGGCCAGAGAGCCGCCTCGCCGATGCATCGGCGATGCGGCTCGACGTGGGGCCTGATTTTCTCCATGCCGACGGCGGCGGTGCATCGCCGATGTATTGGCGATGCGGCACGATCCTCCGACCTCATCTGCTCGGACCCCATTTGGGAGGCCTCTTCAGTATCGGTGGGCTCGCTTCCCTGGCCAAGCCTGGGGGGCGTGGTTACCGATCCTGGCGCTGGCCCTGAGCCTGTTGTAGGTGGATCGTTTCATTAATTTTTCCAATGCGCGGCCCCGACCCCTTCTCTGGATGCAGTTTTTCGTCCTGGATGCCCTGGGGCCCTGGTACCGAGCCCTGGAGACCGAAATCGAGGCAAAACGCTGGGATTGGAAAAATCAGATCGTCGCCCAGATATGCGATGTCTGGATGTTGTCGGTACGCGGTCCTAAGAAGTCCCCGCCCCTCTCCTCAGGGCAGTTGTTTTCATCCCCGAGCCAGGCCCAGTACGGGCGCCCAGAGGCTGAAAATGGCGAAAAGCTTCTCGCCGCGTTTTTGTCACGACGCGTTTTTGGGCAGTCGGCTTCTCATCCTGAGTAGTTCTCTGACGGTCCCGGGGTTTCGGCGAGGGCACCCAGTGGCCGAAAATTGAGAAAACCCTCCGTCTCGAGTCTCCCAGGGGCGGCCAAGAGGGGGGTGCTGACCAGGGGGGGATACCACGGTTGGGGCCAGGATGTCTCCCCAGATGTCATGCCCCCTCCTCTTATTTCAATGCGTCCCCTGGCCCTTCGCCTGAGACATCCTCGCAGCTCTGGTCTTCGAGATGCCGCGCGCGAGGTGGTCTGCTGGGCCGCTTCGCCAAGACATTCTCGCACTTCTGGGCTCCAGGATGCCGCGCGCGAGGTGGTCCGGCCCGTTTCGCCGCAGACATCCTCGCAACCCTGGACTCCAAGACGCCCCACGAGAGGTGCTCCGGCCTGTTTCGCTTGAGACAACGTCGAAACTCTAGGCACCAAGACGCTGCTCGCGAGGTGGTCCAGCGTTCCTCTTGAGACGTCCTTGTAACTGGGCTCCGAGATGCTGCGCGGCAGGTGGTCCGGCGCAGTTCGCTCCACACATCCTCGAAACTAGGCTCCAAGAGGTAGCAGGGAGGACGGAGGGAGGAGGGAGGAGGGGTCAGACACAAACGAACCTCTGGGAGGGGTCAGGGCGCCGCCTGCCTGGTCCATCCTCGTATGCCGCGCGAGAGGTGGTCTGGCCTTTTTCACCTGAGACATCCTCGCAGCTCTAAGCTCGGAGA